GATGCCTTAGACAGTTTCATTAATAGACTCAGATAGATGGGGCATGAATCAGTGAACTGGAAGGTAGCTCAATGTAAATTACCAAGAATGAAGCACAAAGAGAAAAAAAGAGTGAGAGGAAAAACAGAGCATAATATCCAAGAGTTACAGGACATTATTAAATATTCTAACATATGCATAATTGGAATCCTAGAAGCAGAAGAGAGAGGGGGGCACAAGATACATCTGAAGAAATAATGACCAAGAGTTATCTAAACTTAATTTAAACACTAAACCACAGATCCAAGAAGTTCAGAGGGCATAAAAGTAGGATGATACAACACACATACAACACACCTAGCCATATCATGAGATTCAAACTGCTGAAAACCAATGACAAAGAAAAAAAATATTAAAGGAAGCCACAGAAAAAGAAACATTACATACAGGGGAACAAAGAAAAGAGTTGCAACAGAACCAGTGCAAGCCAGAAGACAGTGAAGTGACATCTTTAATTACTAAAAGAAGAAAATAAAACAAAACAAAAACCTGTGAACCCAGAATCCTATACCCAGCAAAAATGTCTTTCAAAAAAGAAAAATACTTTTTCTGACTTACAAAAACTGAGGGAATTTATTACTAGGAAACATACTCTATAAGAAATGTTAAAGGAAGTTCTTCATGCAAAAAGAATATGATATTGGACTGAAGCTTGGATCCACACAGAGAAATGAAGACCTTGTAAATGGAATAAATAAATGAAGGCAAAATAAAATTCATTTCTTTTCTTATTTTTGATTGCTCTAAAAGATAACTTTTCAATGTTGGAAACAACGATGGGGCAATGTAGTCTGTGTTCATAGCACATGTAAATGTGAAAGGCATGAAAATAATAGCACAAAGGATAGAAGGGAGGAATTGAGACTATATTTCTGCTAGGTCCTTACACAACACATAAAAGACTATAATATTTGAAGGCAGGCAAGATTAATTAAAGGTGTATATTGCAAACCCTAGAGAGACCACTAAAAATATTTTTTAAAGAGGAATGAGTAATAAGTCAACAGGGGAGATGAAACAGAATTAAAAAACATTCTCAATTAACAAAAGAGAAGGCAGGAAAAGAAAAAAGGGACAAAGGGAACAAATGAACTCACATTAATTATAAAGACAGATTGGTTAAAAGTAAAAGGACGAATGAAGAAAAATATGCCATGCAAACACTAATCAAAAAAAGAAAAAAAAGCTGGAGTAGCTATGTTATCAAAGAAAACTTCAAAACAAGAGATATTATCAGGGATAGAGAGGTATACTACATAATGATAAAAGGTTTACTTTTTCAAGAAAATGTAACCAATTAATTTGTGAATGCACCTAACAGCATAGCTTCAATAGACATGAAGCAAAAAGAGATGGACCTGAAAGGAGACATATACAATTACCTCTCAGTAACTAATAGAAGAAGCAGACAGATAATTATCATGGAAACAGAAGACCTGAGCAACATGATTAACCATCAGGCCAAATTGACAGATATAGAACACTCCACCCAACAATAGCAGAATACACTTTCTTTTCAACTACACATGGAACATTCACCAATATGTATCATATTCTGTGAAATAAAACAAACTTTAAAATATAGAAACCACTCAAAGTATGTTCCCAGACCATAATGGAATTAAACTAGAAATCAATAATATAAAGATATCTGGAAAAATCCCCAAATATTGGAAATTAAACAACTGTCTACTAATAATCTATGAACCAAAGAGAAAGTCTCAAGGGATTAAAAAAGAGTTTTGACTGAAAGAAAATAAAAACACACATATCAAAACATGTGGAATGCAGCTGCAGTAGTGTTTCGAGAGAAATTTAGGAATTAAATGCTTACAAGAGAAAAAAGCTCTCAAATCAATAATCTAGGCTTCCATCTTTATAAACTAGAAAAAGAAGAGCAAAATACACTTAAGTTACACATAAGCTGAGGGAAGAAAATAATAAAAATTAAAACAGAAATCAATGAAATTAAAAACAGAAAACAATAAAGACATATTAATGAAACCAAAAGCTGATTCTTTGAAAAGACTGACAAAATTGATAAACCTTTGGCCAGACTGACCAAGAAAAAAAGAGAAAAGATATAAATTACCAACATCAGGAACAAAAGAGGGGATATCATTACAGACCCTACAAATATTAACAAGATTGTAAGGGTATATTTTGAACAACTCTATGCCCAGAAATTTGATAATTTATATGAAATGGAATCCAGGAAAGATACAAATTACTAAAGCTCACTCAAGAAGAAACTAGATAAATAGACAGTCCTATATCTATTAAAGACATTTAATTTGTACTTTAAAAACCTTCCAAAAAGAAATCTCCAGGCCCAAATGGATAGAATAGATAGAATAGATAGAAGTCAACAGTGAATTCTATCAAACATATAAGAAAGAAATAATATAAATTTAACACAACTTTTTTCAGAAAACAGAAATGACACCAGAATTGCCCTAATACCAAGGCCAAAACAACATTGCGAAAGAAGAAAACTACAGAGCAACATCCCTCATGAATACAGATGAAAAGTAATTCTTACCAAAATGTTAGCAAATTTAATTCAGAGAATATAAAAAAGATAATACATCACGGCCAAGTAGCATTGCTCACAGGAATGTGACACTGGCTCGATATTTGAAAATCAGTCAATGTAAGGCACCGTAATAACAGACTAAAGAAGAAAATAGATGCAAGAAAAGCATTTGACAAAATTCTACCCCCATTCATGATTAAAACTCTCAGCAAACCAGTTAGAGAAACTTCCGAAACCTAATAAAAGACATCTACAAAAAGCCTTTGCCTAACATCATACTAAATAGGTAAAGACTCAATACTTTACCTCTAAGATAGAGAAAAAGGCAAAAGATATCCACTTTCACTACACCTATTTAACATCATACGGGGACTCCTAGCCATTACAATAAGACAAGACATGGAAATAAAAGGCATGTCATCTATTCATAGCCTACCACAACAAAGAATTATCCAGTTCAAAATGTCCATGTAGAAATTTCCAAATAATCTACACAAAAGCTCTTAGAACAACTAAATGAGTTTAATAAAGTCTACAGGATACAAAGTCAGTGAAAACAAAACCGTGGTATTTCTATACACTAGCACTGAACAACTGAAATTCAAAATTAAAATAACAATACCATTTACAATTGCGCCAAAAAACCCAACTTAGGTATAAATATAAAAAAATTATGTGGGTTCTGCATGATGCAAAGAACAAAATACTAAAGGAAAAAAAGTAAGAAGACCCAAACTAATGGAGAAACAGATCATGTCCTTGGATTAGAAGATTTAGTATTATTAAGATGTTACATCTCCCCAATTCATTATATAGATTAAATGCAATTCCAATGAAAAAATCCAGCAGGCTTGTACATAGGTATTGACATGGTGGTTTTAAAGTTTATATGGAAAGGCAAAGGAATGAGAATTGCCAAAAAAATTTGAAAAGAATAACAAAGTTGGAAGACTAACACTATGTAATTCAGTGTTACTGTAATGCTATAGTAATCTATACAGTGGTTATGGAGAAAGGATAGACACATAGATCAATGGAACAGAAGAGAGAGACCAGAAATAAAACCACATAAATACAGTCAACTGAGTTTTGACAGTAAGGCAACTACAATTCAATAGAGAAGACAGTCTCTTGAAACAAATGGGTCTAGAACAACCGAGTGTCCATATGCAAAGGGAAAAAAACCTCCTCAGCCTGTATCTCATACCTCACACAAAAATTAACTTAAAATGAATCATAGACCTAAAATATAAAACATAAAGCCAAAAGCCTTCTCAAAGAAAACACAGGAGAAAATGATGTGCATGGCCTTGGATTAGGCCAGTGATTCTGAACAAAGTCACCTTTATATGCCAGGGGACATTTGGCAATGTCTAGAACGTTTTTGATCATCATGAATAGGTGGCAGGTGTGTGTGGGGGAGGAGGGAGTTCTACAGGCATCTAATGGGTAGAGGCCAGGGATGCTGCTAAACATTCTACAATGCACAGAACAGCCCCTCACAGCAAAGAATTATCCAGTCCAAAATGTTAATAGTGCCACCATTGAGGAAGCCTGAGTTAGGCAAAGAGTTGTTTTTTTTTTTTTTTTGCGGTACGCGGGCCTCTCACTGTTGTGGCCTCTCCCGTTGCGGAGCACAGGCTTCGGAAGCGCAGGCTCAGCGGCCATGGCTCACGGGCCCAGCCGCTCCGCGGCATGTGGGATCTTCCCGGACCGGGGCACGAACCCATGTCCCCTGCATCGGCAGGCAGACTCTCAACCACTGTGCCACCAGGGAAGCCCAGGCAAAGAGTTTTTAAGATACAACAACAGAGTCATGATCCATGAAAGAAAAAAAGTTAATAAACTGGATTGTATTAAAATAAAAAAATTTTCTCTGTAAAAACTTCTGCTTTTGATTAAGAGAATGAAATGGTAAGTCAAACTGGGAGAAAATATTTTAAAATCATATTTGTAAAAGGACTTATATCCAGAATATATAAAGAACTCATAAATCGTAACAATCAGAAAACAACCCAATGTTTTAAAACAGGAAAAGAGCTAAACGTATACTTTACCTAAGAACATATTCAGATGAAAAACAAGCATAAGAAAAACCCTCACCATCATTAATCATTAGGGAAATATAAATTAAAACCACAATAAGGTACCACAATATGCCTGTTAGAATATTTAAAATGTAAAAAACCTGGCAATACCAAGTGCTGATGAGGATGCAACATGGCACAGTCACTTTGTGAAACAGTTTGGCTGTTTCTTATAAAGGTAAACATATACCTACCACGTGACCCAGCAATCCCACTCCCAGCCATGCATCCAAAAGAAAAGAAAAGAAAACGTTCGTACCAAAACCTGTAAGTAAATATTCACAGCTGCTTTAAAATTGGAAACAACCTAGATGTTCTCCAAACTGTGGTACATAATAGAATACTTTCAGCAATAGAATAGAATGAACTACTGACTCACAAAATAGCATGCACGAATCTTACCTGCATTTTACAAGGTGAAAGAAGCCAGACCCAGAATTGTTGGGTTCTATTCACATGGCACTCTGGAAAGGGCAAGATCATAAGGAGGAAAACCAATGAGTAGCTGATGGATCAGGGGCTGTGGGAGTTGTCTCTACGGGAATAGCAGGAGAAACTTTGGGTTGATGCAATTGTGTATGGAATGATGGTTGATAATACTACTCTATGCATTTGCCAAACCTGATAGAAACATACAGCACAGAAAGTGAATTTTACTACAGGTTAAAAAAAAAAAAAATCTACCAGGCTGTGGGAGAAAAGATGGAATGCAGATTGTGACAAATGCATTTAACTTATTTTAAATGGATCACATAAGCACACTGAAGGGGGATGGGGAGAAGAGGAGCCAACCTAAGTAACTTTAGATAAACAGTGTTTTGATTTGATGCAAGGCTAAAGTACACAAACACTGCACTTTAGTTGTTTCTCACAGGGGGATGGGCTAGGAATTCTGACACAACTTATTTTGTATAGTTGGATTAAACAAACAGCTAAATATATTGTAGATAATCAGAGTCAGGTCTCTCACTATTGGAGAAAGAAGTTAACACATAAGAAAACAGGGAAGGCTGTGATGACTCCTGTGGTGCTCAACTGGATTCAAAGGTATCAATATGCACCCATGTTTTAAATGTTAAATTTGAAAAAGTTTTAAATATATACAGATAAATTAGTACAGAAATATAGATATATGTGTATGCATGAGTTAATGTATACTTACACACGCACACACAAACACACACACACACACACACACTTTCTTGGCTCTATCTACTGAGAGGGGTTAGAAACAGTGACACCTCAGTAAACAAGGTGAACACCTAACTCCTGATGGTATTGGTTTCTAAATATCATCCTCCAATATAAGAGATCAGGGATCTTTGGAGAACTGTTTGATTCCAGGGGCTGGGGTAGTTGATGATCCTGGAGCATCTGTGGTGTTTGAATGTAGGCAGTACAAAAAGTGCATAGGAACCAATCTGAAAGAGCTCCCAATAATCAAAGCTGGAACAACCTGAACAACAAAATAAAAAGCAATGGTACAATATTAGATTTTAACAAAGAGAATAAAATAAATGTTCATGAGTCCACATGGATATAAATGATTAAGTAAATATATGGGAGAGAAGGAACAGCTCTTCCTCAGAGAAGAATACCAATAAATAAATACAGAAGGGACATGAGGGAAATAGAAAATCACCATTAAAATACCACAGTAATCGTTGCTGATGGCAAGGTCCACCAAAGTATGCTAAAAAGAGTAGACAAATATTTAAGTAGAAATAGCTCTGCACTATTTTTATCATTCTTCTTTAGATCCGAAACTGTTTCAAAAAAAATTTTTTTAATAATAATGAAAAGAGAAGAATATTTAGTAACATGGAAAGATGTTTATGATTTATTAAATTTTTAAAAGCAGTATGATTCTAATTTTGTGTACACCTACACACACACACACACACAAACCAAAATAATTTAAACAAAAGTGTGAGAAATATCTACCTCTTGGTGGTGACAATATAGGTGATTTAGATTTCATTTCATTACTATTGTTATAATAATAATTATTACTATTGCTTATCAGTATTTTCTAAAATTTTCTACAATGACCATGCATTAATATTAGAATAATAAAAATATATTTAAAACACTCCTTGAAGGTTGTGTTACATGTCTTCTGTACTTCAAATTGTGTTGAAAACAATAGTGGGTACTGTCAAAGTGAATTCTTGAATTGAAGCACTGCCTTGCTATTCCCCCCCCCTTTTTTTTTAACATCTGTATTGGAGTATAACTGCTTTACAATGGTGTGTTAGTTTCTGCTTTATAACAAAGTGAATCAGCTATACATATACATATATGCCCATATCTCCTCCCTCTTGCATCTCCCTCCAACCCTCCCTATCCCACCCCTCTAAGTGGTCACAAAGCACCGAGCTGATCTCCCTGTGCTATGCAGCTGCTTCCCACTATCTATCTATTTCACATTTGGTAGTGTATATAAGTCCATGCCACTCTCTCACTTCGTCCCAGCTTACCCTTCCCCCTCCCCGTGTCCTCAAGTCCATTGCTATTCCCTTTTGCAACACAGATAACTATCCCCCTAATTTATATTCATATACAGCACTTATCTTAGTGCTCTGCACAAAATACTCAGTAATAATAGAATTATAAATATAGATTCTGCTGTATTTAAATTAGTATAAAGTGAAGTACACCTGAAAAAATAAGTAACATATCTATATCACCTGATAAATAGAAATAATGGAAAACATTTAGAGCTAAGTATGTAGTAGCATACTGTATGCTAGGCACTGTTCTAAGCACTTTATATGTATTAACTTATGTGATCCTCACCACAACTCAGGGGTTTATCCCCATTTCATAGATGACAAAATCTAGGCCTAGAGATTAAGTAATTTGCACAAAGTCACACAGCTAGCAAGTAGCAGGCAGCAATATAAAGCACTTCTATATTCATTATCATTTTACCTCTCACAGCAATTCATTGAGTTAAGTATCATTACCCGAATTATCAGATTTATAACCTGAAGCGCAGAGAAATAGGTGACTAGCCTAGCTGAAAGTGACAGGAGTGGGACACCTGACCTCAAAACACATGATTTTTCAGCTATATCATGCTGCCTCATGCATTAACATGAAGTGGGCAAACCAAAACAGGAAACCACCAGAGAACTGTCAAAACACATCTCCAGTGGAGAATTCTAAACATGGATTAGTTCTTTCCCAAGTCTGCTTAAATTTCACACCATCCACCTGCATGTTTTTTTCTTCTCTACCAGCTGAGAAGGTGACATTTCCTGTTCTCTGGTTTAAATCAGAGAAGCTTGCAGTACTATAATCACCAATGAAGCTACATATTAGCTTACAGAGATTTTTTTTTTTCTCCTTTAAATTAAAGAGGCAGTGAAAGGTACAATCTTGCTTCTGTTCCCAGACCTCTGAGAAAGTCATTGTGGGCATTCTCCGGCAAAAAGAAAGTAACTTCGTTTGTAGAGAATAATGCCCTGTTGACAAGTTGGCAGGGCTGCCTTGTTTAGAAAAGAATGTGCAGAGAACCTGAAAGATAATTAACGTGTGGTGACCTAACAGCATGCATCAGGGCCGTAGTACGCCTGGCAGAGGCAGATGTGGCCACACAGTTCATTAACACTGTATAGTTTGTTTAATTCCAGTTGGACAATTAGAGAATGGTCTAGAACCTAGATAGAACCCCAAATAGACTCTCTGATCTCAGCTGCAGTGGGATGGTTCTAAGCCACCACCTTGGGCCCCAGGAGATTAGACCAGAATTCCTCAAAAACCTATTTGCTTTTCTTTAACAATCATCTCTACATTGCCCATCATGATGGAGGAGAGCCATTGCATAGATGGTCAAAACAAAGGAGAATTTTACAACTGATCTTACGGTGTACAATGATTCCATTATTAAGCTTAGTTTTAACTTACATTTTGTGTCAATTAAAATCACAGGTGCTTCCAATTTTACAGAATGAATAAATTTTAGTAAAATTGTTTATGAAGTGATTTTCTATTAATGTAATTCTGTTCTGCTTATGATTTAAGAAGACTGAAGATGAGTTTCACTGGAGGAAAAAATTAGCTAGGTAGCACTGATTTTTTTTCTATTTTGAAATGCTTTATAACAATATGAGAATGTTCATTACTCTCCTGAGATTTCTCCTATCCCCACCTGTTTTTTTTCTCCCTTCCCTTTCTCAGACCATGAAAATCCTCACTTGGGCCCAAAGATGTTCTGTCTCCCCTCCTTGCAACTCTTGAAATTCAGAGATCTCTTTCTGCCTCTGTGTATTTAGTGCCCAACAGAGCTAGAATGGACTATCACATACAGTCAATAGGTGCTGCTCTAAAATATGAGGGACCCCAACCTGATACACCCACTTACGAATTCTCTCATGCAAACAGGTGCTGCATTCAATAAGTTCACTGACCTTGAAAGTCCAGCAGACGAATCTGTTTACAATGCTACACTTGCAGTGTGTTTTCTCTGAGCCTGGAAACTGATGGTGAGGGAAGCAATCCAGCATTATGCTGAGCAAACAGGGAAAGCTAAGCTGCCGCTAAATATTTTCCAAAAGTCATCCTCTGTGAGGTTAATCTGCCAACAGATAAACAAGTGTCTTTGAGTCATTTTCAAAAATTAAATAAGGACAGAATTTTTTTCTAGGCCACATATACAGCCTGTCAGAGCAACACGAACTACTTGCCAAATGCCTGGACCACCCCCACCCCGCCTGCCTTTAGCTGAAGAAAGAGAACATGTGCAGATTGTGTTTATAGCTGTGGGTCAGTGTGGGGTGTCACTGATCTGATCAATGCCACCGTGTGCCCTGGGCAGAACTCCAGCCTCCCCAGCAAAGGACTGCTAGATCTCGCCAGGATTTCTGTTGAGCCATTATGTTCTCTTTCTCTCTTTCTACCTGCCTTTTCCTGACTGCTGGGAAGGAGTAAGGTGGCTTTGGCAACTCCTTTACACTCCCACATCTATTTTTCTATGGAGTAAGGCAAAAAAAACATTGTGAGACCTCACTCTCACCCCTTCCGAGGAGAGGGGACCAGGATCTCCAACATAAAGCTTACTGCTGGTACTATGCCCAGCATGGCTTCTTGCGCCTAGTGAGCCTGAGCAGCTCAGTGAGAACGAGACTTTACCCAAAGCTAGCTCCATTTGGCAAATGGCGTAGGCTTCCTGGCTTTATTTCCTCAGCTCTGGAGCTCATCATGCCATAAACCACAGGGACTTTGTAGGCATGTTATTGTATTAGCACCATATGGAGAATACTCATGGAACTCACATGCAGAACGTGTGATGTCAGACCAGTTTACATGAGTCCAAATTTTGTGCAGCTGTTACAATCAGATGTTTCATTTCATTTTTTATGTCAGCACCAGCCCAATAAATCCACTAATTCTGAGACTGAAAAGTAAAGAGAGTTCTGTGTGCTCGCACGTGTTTCGGAGCTGGGAAGCTCTGTACCAC